CTAGGGGAATCTGTATATTCCTGTGGTCTTAAAGATGACCATTGTACCAAACTTTGCCCCCAAAATGCTAGATTATACCTAATGCCCTCCCATAATCAGCTATGTCCCTTTCATTCTTTAAAGGGCCACAGTTTGGATGATTAAATTAAAGGAAACATCTGCATGTTGATTTCACCTGACTTTCCACCTCCAATCCCAGGCCCCTTTTTCAAGCATCCCACATGGAAGATCCAACCACACACCTCCATCTGCATATTCTCAAGTATAGGCACCTCCAACTTAGCATTTCCTAGACTGAAATTACTATTTTCTCACCTTTCCCAATCTGCTTCTTCTCCAGTGAGCCATAGACTACAGATCCACTTGCTGAAGTTGGAAACACAGTATTATCTCTGATAGCTGCCTCTCCCTTGTCACCCACATCCAATCCATTATCAAGACCTGTCAATTCTACCTGTGAAATATTCACATATAAACTTTCTTCTTATCACTACTGCCACCACCTGATCCAAGTCACCTCTCTCTTGGACTCCTGTAATAGCTTCTTATCTGCTCTGTGCTCTTGCTTCTACTCTCTCCCCATCAATGAGAATACTCCTTAGAACCTAAGTTATATCATGTCCCTTTCTAGCTTACAGATACTCAGTAATTCTAAGAACTCAATCCTCAATCTTCACATCTGATCTATGAGGTCCGCATGATATTTTCCTGTGCACCTCCCAGGTTTTAATTCCCATATCTCACATGCTCCATTCATTCTGTCCTTAGTCCCCCAGAAACATTCCTTTTTGCTCTGATTCCTTCGCACCTGCTGATCTTTCTAGGCAGCAGACTGCTGGAGGTTCATCGAAGTCCACATTCTCCTCCCTCACCTATATGTACTGTTGGACTATATTTCCCAGACTCCTTTGCAGCTATTGTGGCTGAGGAATGTAATCACAGGCATGTGACATGAGCAGGAGTAATCTATCCCTCTCCCAGGCCTGGCCAGTGAAACATCCCCTCCATGCTTCACCACACTCTTTCCTCTCTTCCGCTGGGAGCAACAGAGATGACCACTGATGCAGTCCTGGTGGACACATGCAGAAGATGGTAGATTCTTCAAGAAGAATGGGATGGGAGACACAGTGGGAGATGGGATGGGTTGTGGGTGGGAGGGAGGTTATGGGGGGAAAAACCACTATAATCCAAGGTTGTATTTTTGAAATTTATATTTATTAAAAAAATTTTTCTGAAAGAAAAAAAAGATGGTAGATTCAGGATGTGTCCCCAACTGTGTGGTAAAAAGGCACCTTATCTATCTTCTTCCCAGTACAGGTCCCTGGACCAAGAAATATACTATGTTCTAAGCTAACATATAACAGTCTTTTTTTTTTAAAGTTCATGGAAAAATAGAATTAAAAGACAAGCTTATTTTGGTACAAAAAATGGAAATCCATGCATAATTTTATCATAATATCTATTTTCCATGAACTTTTGGAAGATCCTTTGACTATCTGAAGATTCACTGCTACAACATTTAGCACTATGCTAACAAAAATGTGTACCTGCGACATCGAGCAATCATACTACCACCAGCATACACACACACACATGCACATGCACACACACACTCAGTCACTCTGTAGGCTCCCATCTACTCATATTTTAAGTCTGGGCTTATGTGCATAAAAGGCCTCACTCCCACACCAGTGGAATTTAATTTTGTCTATTATTCTTTCTCTCCACACTCTATTCCTTCCCATTGATTTACTCACCAGAATGCATTAATTACATATTAATTTTTGTGTGTGTTTAAAGTTTGTATCCACAATTAGCCCATAAGATCCATGGAATCAGAACCTTTTGTCCAGCACGATAATATACACAATGCCAACACCTTGCTTGGTATATAGAAGTCCACGCATTTTAAAATGCAGATAAACAAATAAGAAGTCACTATTAAGGGAATATATTTTTTTCATTATAAGAACTCAGCTCTAAACCAAAAACAATTAAGAATCAAAATACACACCAGGAAGATTTTTTTGTAACCTTTATTCATTCAGTGTGGGGAGCAACTCGGACTAGACTGTTACTGGAATTAAGACTTATTCTATGCATCTGCTCTCCCACAATATGACACTGGAAGAGGAGGAAACAGCTTCTACACAGCTGCCTCCAGTTCAACCCATAAACAGCAGGACCTGCTCCTGATTGGAGGAGAGCAGCGTACTCGGCGTGTGGGTAGCAGAGTTGGGATTGGTGGAAGAGGACTATAAAGGAGGAGAGAGACAACATGCACCAGGAACACCTGAGGAACATCTGAGCAGCCCCCAAGAGAGCCGGCCGGTGGTGTGCCGCTCCCCCGCGGAAGTGGGGAAAGTGGCAGGGGGAACCGCCCTTCCACGGAGGTGGAAGGGATGGTAGCCAACCCGGGAAGAACCAGCAGCAAACCCGGGGAGGGCTGAGCAGACAAAAGAACAGCGCAGGGTCCTGTGTCGTTCCTCCACGAAGAGGGGAAGCGACAATTCAGAATGCAATTTTGAGTCAATCTACAACCAAAAGAAAATGCTAAATTCTTACGTAGTGTTAACAGGCTGAATGATATAATATTGCCCCTATGTGTACAAGTAAGAAGTCGGTCTCTATTCCTTTCATAAAATCTCTTGGTAAACATGTATGTATTTTTTCCATGAAAAATGCATTAACAAGATCATGGTTATGTAGCTAGTCAGCACAATAGACAAATAATAATTTCTGTTGAGCTACTGAAGTCTTGCGATAGGGTGCTCACAACTCCAAGCAACGTCCATTGATCTTTTCCATGGCATTCATTATGTGACAGGCTCACCAGTTACATTAAAATAAGTCTACTAATTTTTAAAAGCTAAAATTACTCAAAAAGTCCTGTATTGTAAATAACACCTGGAATACTGCGTTTGTCTAAGATGACTAGATGACATAAATCTTTTCTACAGTCCTTTCTGCAGATGTAGGAAAACAAATACCATAAGAGAGTGAAATAAAGTTCTGATATTTTTGCCTAAAAGTCTATTTATGTATTTTGCTTAATATTTAAATGATCAAAAATCAATATTAAATAACTGCACAAAACCTAAAATAAAAAGGCCACATTACAACATACAACATTATATAGACAAATTAAAAGCAGCTAATTAGAAGCCTTTCTAAAAATTTAAAGTTTCTGACATCATTTTCCACCATTCCATCAACTCTTGCTTCTCTTCTTCTTTCCTTTCTGAAAATGACTCCAGTTCAAAATCAACCCAAGAGAGAAAAATCAAGAACTTATTTTTATCAAATTGCTTTTTAAAATAGACATAAAAATGAACAGTTTCAGTGCTTAAATAACAATCTCAACTCAGTCACCTAAATTAAAGCAGATCCTCAAAAAATCTCTTATAATAAACAAGAGATATTCTCAGGGAGAAAAATCAAAAGTCATTATGTTTGAAATGTGCTTTGCTCTTATCACTTTAAAGGCAGGTATAGGGCCAGTGCTGTGGCTCACTAGGCTAATCATCCACCTGCGGCGCCGGCACACCAAGTTCTAGTCCCGGTTGGTGCGCCAGATTCTGTCCTGGTTGCCCCTCTTCCAGGCCAGCTCTCTGCTGTGGCCCGGGAGTGCAGTGGAGGATGGCCCAAGTGTTTGGGCTCTGCACTCCATGGGAGACCAGGAGAAGCACCTGGCTCCTGCCTTTGGATCAGCGCGGTGCACTGGCCATGGCAGCCATTGGAGGGTGAACCAATGGCAAAAAGGAAGACCTTTCTTTCTGTCTCTCCCTCTCACTGTCCACTCTGCCTGTCAAAAAAAAAAAAAAAAAAAAAAAAAGGCAGGTATAGTTCAAGAAAATCTCCTGCCCCAGTCTCTTACCCTCATAAAAAGGTGTCACTTGGAGTTAATATTCTGCCTTTATCTATTGAATGAGCTTTTCCTGCCAGCTTGGACTTTCTCTTACTAGATGGGGACATATGGGAGAATACAGTTCTATGTGCTGTTGTCCCCAGCCATCAAGTTCTGCCTTCCAAAATCTTGAGTTTGTTGAAGAACTGAATGAAAACACATATCTCCAAACCACTGCCCTTGTCACGTGGGAGCTTCGTCAGGTCTAGGCGGCCTCCCGCACAGAGCCTATTCAAAATCCACAGCACTCAACCCCAACCCTCAGGCCCTGCTCCGCATGAAACCAAGAGTTCTGAATGTGGCCACCTGCACCCCTGGTTGTTCTGGAATGTGATTACACATCCTGGAACCAAGACAGCCAGAAAGGTTAAGGATCAAAATGGTTGAACCTTTACAGACTGTTCCTGGGGCTATTTTTTGCACTTTTTGAAAATTTGCCTCCTTATTTTAATGTATACACAACCTAATGCACATGCACACACAACCAAAACCAAAGCATAAGTTAAAAACTCGATATATTTTGTTTGCCAAAAACAAACTTTTATACTCCAAACTTTGGGTGCACAAATAAAACACAATACAGATATTTCAGGTAAGCCTTTGAATTGGAAATACTGTGGTCTCATCACCATCTCCTTTCTAGCAAAATTAATGGTATCTGCTTGAATAAAATATACATTTCAATAGTACTTAGCATAGGGGCCTTACTCATGGTGTATGCTTAACAAATGTTTAGTTAAAGCCCAAAATTGTCCAGTTGGCATCATTTTTTTTTAATATTTGGTGAGTGAAGCATTGTGCTATGTGCCGGAAATAAAGACAGAAAGGAATAAAATTCCATGTAGATTGAAATTCAGGTTAGCAAATAAAATTGTAATTTTTCATGTATCTTTAAGAAACAGAAATGGTAACACTGGTGGTAAATCATTCAATGAGATTTGGGGCAGATCATCTAATATTGTTAGGCTTCAGTGTTCTCATCTATTAAATGGGGCTAATACTCCCCACCTCATAGGTTTATTATGAATATTAAATGTAAGTCACTCGAATACGCCTGACAATGGTTAGTACTTAGTTTTTACTAGGTTCGCTATTATTGCCATGCTAAGTTCTTAAGTTTACTCACCCCAACAGCAGGGCTATAAGGAACTGCTACCTTCTTCGTTATTGCCAGATAGCCAGGAGCTGAGGCCATAAGTTTATAGTTTCCAGGTACGAGCAATCTCCAGTAATCACCATCTTTCGCTGTAGGAAAACAAAATATCAAATCACAAGGCACACACGTGGATCGCATAGTTATGCCATCTAAGAAATACCTACCATTGCTTGGTTAGACTCCAATCCCTATTTTTAAAATAAATATACAGGGAATTTGAAGAAGTTCTCTTGAAAAGGGAAAGACGCTCTCCCAATATGCTCGTTTCTTACAGCTGCTTTACAGACATTACTGTTATCTAGCAGACATCTAAGAGCATGGCTCTTCTGATTGCACCAGGAGAAACACAGGTAAAAAGACGTCTATAGTGGGGCCAACACTATGGTGCAGTAGGTTAAGCATCAGGCTGCAGTGCCAGCATCCCATGTGGGCACCAGTTCTAGTCCTGGCTGCTCCACTTCTGATCCAGCTCTGCTGTGGCCTGGGAAAGCAGTGGAAGATGGCCCAAGTGCTTGGGCTCTGCACCCACGAAGGAGACCAGGAAGAAGCTCCTATCTTCGGATCAGCCTAGCTGGTGAATCAGCACATGGAAGACCCGACCTCTCCCTCTCTCTCTCTCTCACTCTCTATAACTCTGCCTCTCAAATAAATAAATCTTAAAAAAAAAGATATCTATCAAGTCCTGAGTGGGGAGGTCAGAGCACCTGGCAGCACGTTTTGATTCATGCTAGGTGAAGACCTGATGGTGCAAGTCCAGGTCGGGGGTTTGCAGAGTGCAGCCCAAGGGCGGCATCCCCACAACTCCCGAGGATCTAGTTAGAAATTCCGATTTCTAAAGATTTCAGAGCAGGTGGGTCTCCTGAGTTCTTCCAATCTCCTGTTTTCCTACATCAAGGCTTCTCAAACTTAGGTGGATATCAGCCTCCTGGAAAACCTGACAAAATGCACAATCCGCTGCACTGGCTCTGGGTGGGCCCGAGACGGGGGCCTTCTGCCTCTGCAGGGTGGTGCTGAGGCTGTGGTAGGAGCTGCACTCTCCTCAGGAGGTCCTCCAGGACAAGCCACACTTCCTCCTTTTCCTGAGTCGGGCCACACATCCTCCTCACCCGCGCTCTCAGGGCATACTTCCCATCTTATATCACGGTGAAAACAGACGAACCAGGGCAGGTGAAGCCCCCATCACCACATCGTCCCGTCTGTCTCTAGACCCCCACATCTCCTTTCAGACAGTGCCTCCTGTATCTTGTTGATAACCAAAGTTCTGGAAAGATCTGTCCACGTTCTCTGTTACTGATGATTCTCCTCCTACTCTCTCCTGGACTTCTCCAATCAGGTTCTGCTTATGCACTCCACAGGAAACAGATCTTGTCACAGCTATCCACACCGGTATAGGGGAACTGGGCAGGGTGTCAGGAAGAGTTGAGCCAGAATATTTCCGCATAGGCATTGTAACTCCTCTCCCTTACCTGTCAATCCAGTATGCTCACTTTCCCATGAAGCTCCAGTGTCTCATCTGAGACCAGGAAGGAGGAGATGCCATGATGGCCACATGGAAGCTAAGCTCCAGGTGGAGGAGGTATGGAACTCCCAGGAAGCCTCATACACACTAAACTCCACCTCGCTTGTATATTCTATTAGGGCACTTCCCGTAAAACGGATACATGTGGAGACACCCTTCTTTTTCCCTTGGCCATGTTCATGGGTTGCCCTCTGGCCTCCTTCCCGTCTCTCCTCATAGGCAACCCTCTGGCCCACTCCTGATGGGCATTTCTCCATGTAGGGTCCCCCACACTCTGGCATGAATATATATTCACCCTCTCCCTTAAGTAAATCTCTCACATGTGTACCGTGTTTATGTCTCTGCTTTGAATTCCTATCTCTAGGCAAGCAAGAACCTGGAATAAAATGCATGGTACTTGTGCCCCTAATGACGTGGCTAACTCCAGCGATGCATTCACAAGGCTGCTCTTGCTGGCATTCCTTATCACTCCCTCCTTCATGAAACACCCCCAGGCTTCCAGGACAACGCATATTGTTTTCCTTCTGCTTTGGAGGCTATTGTTTGTTCTTTCTTCCTCATCACCTTGACTTTGAAAAGCTGGAGGGGCCGGCACTGTGGCACAGCAGGTTAACACCCTGGCCTAAAGCTCCAGCACCCCATATGGGTGCCGGTTGGAGACCCGGCTGCTCCACTTCCAATCCTGCTCTCTACTATGGCCTGGGAAAGCAGTAGAAGATGGCCTAAGTCCTTGGGCCCCTGCACCCACATGGGAGACCTGGGAGAAGCTCCATGCTCCTGACTTTGGATGGGCGCTGCTCCGGCCATTGTGGCCAATCAGTTGGGGAGTGAACCTTCGGATGGAAGACCTCTCTCTCCTCTCTCTGGGTAACTCTGTCAAATAAATAAATCAATCTAAAAAAAAAAAAAACACACAAAAACAGGAAAACCTGGAGTATCCAAGAGTCCAGTCCTCAGATTTCAATCCCTTTGATTCCCTAGGTCAGAGTTTCCTAAACTTTTTATATGATGGAGTGAAGAGAAAGTAATATTTGTATGGCAGCCAATGGTTCACAGACAGAAGAGGTGTCCTGGAGCCAGAGGGCCCCAAGCCGGAGTTCTACCCCTGCTAAGAGGTAAGAGGACCATATCTTGGCCCAGATTCTGGAGGCATGCTGCCCTCAGTGGGGTGTTGATAAATACTGCCAGGCGTGTGAGTAAATGGCATTTAAGAGGACAGATGTTATAGATTTAAAAAACAAATCCAAGCAGTGAATGTGAAGATTAAGAAATAGTGATATATACACCAGTTTGGGAAATTAAGGTAAGACCTAGAAAAATTATAAAAACCTTATGACTTAAAAAAATGTCGCAATGATCCCAGCAGATGACAGTTAACCTAAAATGAACTTGACAGGAGTTTAATAGCAGGAGTGCAGAGAAGTGCCAGGAAATTAGGACGTTTTCCCCAAACTGGGAAACTGGAAGTGGGGCTTTAAACCAAGAAATAAATAACATCCCATTTGAATCCTACAGCCTCCAGTTTCACCTTGAATAACTCTGCATTTATGATACGGAGTAAGTGAAGAAATGAATGCAAATTCCAGACACACTCTACGCCAGCAGTTACCTTCTACCCTACCCTTCTAGATCCCTTCACAGCTCATTGCAGAGACTAGGAAAGACACTAGTATGCTAACTCCTGCCAGCTTTGTTTCCCTTTGCTTTCCTGGGCAGCTCTGGGGAGACACAGCTGAAGAAAGGGCGCCACCTGCTGCACCCCGACTTCCAGGCACAGCAGCCACCCTGCGTTTCACTGTGCCTGACCTGCTCCCACAAATGCAATGGGCCTAGGTCAAAAGTAAGGGAGAGACAGTGGAAAGAGACAAGGAGGCCAGGAGTATAAGATTATAATTACAATAATGAGAAGTAGGCTTTTTTTGTACCTTGGGCTCCAGGTCAGAGCAGACACTCACCGGATGTAACATCATGATCTATTCCTTCCACGGAGATGGTTGCATTGGCAATCGGGTTACCTTGAAGATCTTTGACAAATCCTTTAACTCCTCGGTGTATCTATCAAAGTCAAGAACAAACAAAACATTCCTGTAATAAGTGGCCTTCCAAATGTTCCATGCCAAGCATTCCTTATTTTCTAGCGAAATACTGTCGATCCTGAGTGTTAAAGAATCAAAGCATGAGAAACATGCCAGGGGATTCCAATACAATCCCATCAAGGTGGCATGTACCAATGCCATCTCACTAGTCAGTTACAAGGGACTCAGATGAAGATTGATGTCATAAATAAGAGTGTCAATTGTTAAATCAACAACAGGAGTCACTGTGCACCTAATCCCCATGGAGGATCTCTGTCCTTAATGGGTTGTACTATGCGAATTAACAGTAAAACTACTACTCAAATGGTACTTTATACTTTGTGTATCTGTGTGGGTGCAGTCTGCTGAAATCTTTACTTAGTATATACTAAGTTGATCTTCTATATATAAAGATAATTGAAAGTGAATCTTGGCCAGTGCCGTGGCACACTTGGCTAATCCTCCACCTGCAGCACCAGCACCCCGGGTTCTAGTCCCGGTTGGGGCACCAGATTCTGTCCTGGTTGCTCCTCTTCCAGGCCAGCTCTCTGCTGTGGCCTGGGAAGGCAGTGGAAGATGGCTCAAGTGCTTGGGCCCTGCACCCGCATGGGAGACCAGGAGGAAGCACCTGGCTCCTGGCTTCGGATCGGCACAGTGCGCCAGCTGTAGTGGCCATTTGGGGGGTAATCCAACGGAAAAAGGAAGACCTTTCTCTCTCTCTCTCTCTCTCTCACTGTCAAAAAAAAAAAAAGAAGAAGAAAATGAATCGTGATGAAGAATGGGATGGGAGAGGCAGTAGGAGATGGGATGGTTGCAGGTGGGAGGGAGGTTATGGGGGGAAGCTGCTATAATCCAAAAGTTGTACTTTGGAAACTTATATTTATTAAATAAAAGTGGCAAAAAAAATCAAAGCATGACCAAAAGGAAATGACAAGTAGCTTCCTGAAAATTTGTATCTTGTTCTGAGTCAAAGAAAGACCTTAAAGACCTTGAAGTACTTTCTGGATTAGAATAAATAAATAAAGTTTTTCATACTTGTAAAGTCACAGGACTTACTACAGTGTACAAATCAACACCCTGGTAAGTAGGTAAGTATCAGGGGCCACTGGCTAAGTTGCTGCCTGTGGCACCGGCACCCCGTGTTGGAGTGCTATTCTGGGTCCATGCTGTTCTGCTTCAGACCTGGCTGCCTGTTAGTGCTCGGGGAAGGCAGCACAGGGTGGCCCAAGTGCCTGGGCCTCTGCCAGTCATAGGGAGTTCAGGCTCCCAGCTTCAGCCTTGCCCAGGCCTGGCAGCTGCAGCCATTCCTCTCGCTCTCGCTCTCTCTTTCTCTCCCTCTCGCTCTCTGGCTGTCACTCTCTCCAATGTTCTTCCTTTCAAATAAATGAATAAATCTTTTTTGAAAGCATCTCCCTCTACTATGCCAATTGTGGGCAGCATTTTTCTCTCTTTTATCCTTTCAATTTTATTTTTTCTTTATTCTTTTTTCTGATATGCCAACTTTTCTGTTTAAATGATTCCACTGCAGTAATAAATACCAACAGAAAGGTTATGGGCTGTCAGAACCCCACATGAATTCAGGTTGGAAAACACTGTCACTGCATGGCTCTTGCGAAGGAAATCACAGAAGTTCAAGTTTCACTCACAACTTGGAGAGGCTGTTCATGACCCCTGCCCCTCTAATCATCTCTACCCCGATTCTAGGGCGTTTCCATTTCAACCACAGTTTAAAAGGCATCCAGGAGATTCTCCACTGTTGCTGGGACTATTTGTATCAGTAGCTTTTAACCTCTTATGTGCTTAGGTATCACCCAAAGAGTTTTTGAGGGGCCAGTGCTGTGGCGTAGCAGGTAAAGCCACAGCCTGTGGTGCCAGTATTCCATATGGGTGCTGGTTTGAGTCCTGGCTGCTCCACTTCCAATCCAGCTCCCTGCTCATGCACCTGGGAAAGCAGTGGAAGATGGCCCAAGCCCCTGGGTCCCTGCCAACCACATGGGAGACCTGAATGAAGCTCCCGGATTTGGATTGGCCCAGCTCCAGCTGTTGCAGACATTTGGGGAGTAAACCAGTGAATAGAGTATCTGCCTCTCTCTCTCTCTCTCTCTCTAATTCCACCTTTCAAATAAATAAACATTAAAAAAAAGAAGAGTTTTTGAAAGAGTGTGACTCCACATGAGACAAGAAATTCATTTTTAAGGACTCAGATGATTCTGATACAGGTACCCATGAACCAGTCCTGCAAGATCCCTTGAGAATCTTCGTAATAGACCTTTCCAAAGCTGTTGAGTGGAAGACACTGCTCCTCAGCACACCGTTTACCTAATTAGCTTCACAGGTCTCAATTCTTGCAAACATTCCTTTAAAACCCTGCAGGAGATTCCTTCCCAACCAACCAGAGTTAGCGCCACTAATCACCTACTTTCCATGAAGTGCAAACTGGTCCCGGCCTAGATTTTAGGCCCAGGTGTTCAATCAGTAGTCACCACCACTGTCAAGAACACCACATCAAGGCAGAGCTCCTGGCAGTCTTCCCTGATCTTTCATCAGCTTCGGATTCCCTAAACGTAGTGTTTATGGTGTCAGCTGTATGAGCCTGTTCATTACAAAAGACCACTGTATCTGCTGCTACACAGCTCGCACCCCTAACACCAGCACCATGTCAGGGCAGGTCATGGGGATCACAGAGCAAACCTCTGTCCAAGTGACTTCCAAAAGAGTACATAACTTCATCCCTCTTTTCAGGTGATTTCTTTTTTTTTTTTTTTTTTTTTTTTTGACAGGCAGAGTTAGAGAGTGACAGAGAGACAGAGAAAGGTCTTCCTTCCTTCCTTCCGTTGGTTCACCCCCCAAATGGCCACTATGGCTGGCGCACTGCATGGATCCGAATCCAGGAACCAGGTGCTTCCTCCTGGTCTCCCATGCGGGTGCAGGGCCCAAGCACTTGGGCCATCCTCCACTGCCTTCCCAGGCCATAGCAGAGAGCTGGACTGGAACAGGAGCAACCAGGACAGAATCCGGAACCCCGACTGGGACTAGAACCCGGTGTGCCGGCGCTGCAGGCAGAGGATTAGCCTAGTGAGCCGTGGCGCTGGCCTCAGTTAACCTTGATCTTAGAAAATCCATCTAAACACAGCTGTCTTCAAAGAAGACCTATAGGGTTCCCACCAAACCTGATCTTGGGTTTGGAACATGGCTACTTATCCTTAGCTTTTGTGGTTCAAACATATTTTTATGCTAATTTGCAACAGGAATCCCCTGACTGAAAAAATCCTGTGGAATGGGGCCAGCGCCATGGCATAGTAGGTTAATCCTCCACCTGCGGCGCCGGCAACCCATTTGGGCGCCGGTTCTAGTCCCAGCTGCTCCTCTTCCAATCCAGCTCTCTGCTGTGGCCTGGGAAAGCAGCAGAAGATGGTCCAAGTCCTTGGGCCCCTGCACCCACGTGGGAGACCAGGAAGAAGCAGCTGGCTCCTGGCTTCGGATCAGCAAAGCTCCAGTCATTGCGGCCATTTGGAGAGTGAACCAATGGATGGAAGACCTTTCCCTCTGTTTCTCCCTCTCACTGTGTAACTCTACCTCTCAAATAAATAAATAAAAGCTTTAAAAAAAATCCTGTGGAATGGGCATTCTGTAATCGGGTCCATTCCAGTGGCTCTAGTCCATGATAGTCCTTGTTAGTAGGGCTGTACAGATGTTTGACATGTGTAGAAGAGTTGCTAAGCTGACTTTGATTTTTGGAAAATGAATTGGTTTTATATATATATATATATGTTTATACAAACACATGTATATATGTAAGTGACTAAATATTAACAGCCTTTGTTCATATCAGATTAGCTAATAAATGTGTGTTTCTGCTGTCATGGATGTTGACATCACTCTACTGGACTTTGGGCGTAAATGGCCACATTTATAACGGAATTCAAATACTGTCTAGGCACTCAGGCAAGGAATGGCGTCTACGTCCTTCCACTGCCCCTGCCCAATACCAGTGTCACATCCTGTACAGGGAGTGAGGCAGCGAGGGGCTGTCCCGGTCTTAAGCAGTGAAGTGCTGGCAGAGGATGAGAACCTCTGCAATTCTACACGGATCTCACAAGAAGGGCTGCATCAGTGACTCTCTGGTGACTGTCCCGGCTATGTCATAAGAGGCATAGAGCACAGTGATTCTGGATTCAAATTCTGACTGAAGGACCTCCCTGTGTACCCTCCCTGTGTAGCTGATTCTTCATCTTTAATTCACACACTGAGGAAGGTGATGGTGGTGGTGGTAGTGGTGGTGGAGTTGGTGGTAGTGGTAGTACTGATGTAACTTCCCTCACAGGGTTGTCATGAGGACAAAGTGCCACTATTGTTACATGCCAGTCATTTAGGATAATGACCGGGAAACAGTAAGTGCCCAGCCAGTGTAAGCTGCCATGATCGTGATTACCCATGATGCAGCTGAGCTAGGCTGAGACAAGCGAGGGATGCAGGACATACGGTCAAGGACAAACTCACTCGCAGTCCTGCTGCTACACTTGCATGAGCTCAAGAGTTAAGTGCACCCTGTGGGCCTCACTTTCCCTACTCAGCCCCTGGCCTCCTGGGATGCCACACACCGAAGGGGCTCAGGGAAGGTAGGAGTCCAGGATTGCTTGTTTCGAATAATACAGATGAAAACAAGGTTCTACCTCACTTCTCCACAACTCTCCAGTGTAGATATTCTCAGTGAATAGTCATGAAGCACAAAAGCTATGACAAGTGAAAGCCTAACTAACCCATGGCCAGCACCTGTCTTCCAAATAAGACAGCCTCATTCTGGGGCAGATGGATGCCTCGGACTGAACACCTCTTGGGAGACTGTTGTACACCAGTGTAAATGCTCCTGAATCTCCCAGGGCATGCTGGGGACTGCATTTACCTGCTCAAGGTAGCTAATGAGCGAGTTCTTATTATCCTTCCAGTAGCTCTTCAGGGTCTCCTCGGGTGGGAACTTCTCACAGCTGAGCTCCACCGTGATCTCGAAACAGTTGCTGCTGAGGTAATTGAAGTCCTGCATCCCTGCCAAAGCACCAAATGGAAAATCAAATACTCTCATGGTGATTAAAACTCTACACAGGCCACTCTGCCACCTTGAGGGCCAAGCAAAAGATACACCAACTGGTGCATTTGCGGAAGTTTGTAGGAAACTTCCTACCATCAGTATTGAAAAACACACTTAGAAAAGACAGTCACTACCCTTAAAGCACCAACTCTCCTAGGTTCTTAAGCGATCATTTAGCTTAATGCATTGCTGAGGTAGGGTGCTAAGGCAGGTGTTACCCACATTCCCTGTTTCTGGAATGGGCTTCAAGAAAGACAACAAGGTAAAAGACTCAATTCCTACTAAGGTACAATGGAACCTTAAAAATTCATGGAGGGGGTGGGCACTTGGTGCAGCTATAAAGATGGCGCTTGGTTTGCTCACATCGCATTCTGGACTGCCTGAGTTTGAGTCCTGCTTCCACTTCTGATTCCACCTTCCTAGTAATGTACACCCTAGGAGGCAGCAGGTGATGCCTCAAGTGCTTGAGTTCCTGCCACCTGCATGCAGGACCTGGATTGAGTTTGCAGCTTGGCCTGGCCCAGCACCAGCTGTTGCTGGCTTTTGAGGAGTGAACCAGTAGATGGGAGATTCATATTCTTTCTCTCCCCTCCCCCCACCTCTCTTGCCTTTCCTCCCTCTCTCTCTCTGCCTCTTTCTTCCTTTCAAATAAATAATTAATAAATCATCTCTATCTAAAAAGAAAAGTTCATGGATAGAATTTTCAAATTATTATTGTGTTTTCCATGAACTTATTTTTATTTTTATTATTTTTTAATTTATTTGACAGAGTTATCAACAATGAGAGATAGAGACAAAGGTCTTCCTTCCATTGGTTCACTGCCCAAATGGCCGCTATGGCCGGCGCTGCACCAGTCTGAAGCCGGGAGCCAGGTGCTTCTTCCTGGTCTCCCACACGGGTGCAGGGGCCCAAGCACTTGGGCCATCCTCCACTGCCTTCCTGGGCCACAGCAGAGAGCTGGCCTGGAAGAGGAGCAACCGGGACTAGAACCCAGCACCCGTATGGGATGCCGGTGTCGCAGGCGGAGGATTAACCAAGTGAGCCACAGCGCCAGCCCCTCCATGAACTTTTTGATGTCTTCTCCTATTGGACACATGAACACTAAGCTCACCTTTCTATCAGGGAAGACCTTGGAGAGTCGTGTGCGACGATTGACATATTATCCCTTTCCTGAATCCCCAATATCACAGTACATCCCTGATGGAGTGGGAGGCTCCATGCTACATAGGAGGGGTCTGCAAAATGTTCATGGGGGAGTGGGCATTTAGCCTGGCAGTTAAGCTGCTCATTTGGACAACCGTATCCCATATTGGAGTTTCTGGATTCAAATCCTGGCACTGCTTCTCGTTACAGCTTCCTGCTAATATGCACCCTATGAGGCAGCAGGTGATGGCTCAAGTAGTTGGGTCCCTGCACCCACATGGAAGATATGAATTGAGTTCCTGGCTCCTGGCTTCAGCAACCACCCAGCCCTGGCCATTGCAGGCTTTGGGGGAATAAACCAGCAGATGGTAGCTCTGTTGTATCTCTCTCAGTCTCTCAAATGAGAAAAAAATTCATGGAAAACAGGTATTATGAAAAAGTATGCCTTAGTTACCAAAAAATTGGCACAAAATAGACAGGAAATTTATTGGTAGAACTGTAAATTCAATGTACTCTATAACAATGGAGGAGGATGAATGGCTGACTCTCAGTGGTAACTGTCAATAAGCAACCACCACATAAACAAAGATCAGAATGGAAACTCCCCGCCAGGCACACTATACCAGGCACCACCGTTGGTTGTGCCTTCTACAAAGCTGCTGTCATCATCATTCTTGCGGCAGGGTGGCCGGTTGGGGTCAGACATGACTGGGTTGAAAGAGGAGTACGCCCGAGCCACGCTTTGGAAAATGGCATCATCTGGGCAGGAGCTGTATTCATGAGCACTTCCTGCAAAAATAATTCTCAGGATGAAAGGACTCGACACTGATCAAAATACCCTGCTTGTTTTTCCAAGGAGCGATTCCGTGTTGAGTTTTTACTGGTACTTTTTTTTTTTTCAGCTATGTCACCAGGGGAAATGAGGTGAAGGGTTAAGTACTAAACTATTACCCATTGTGCTTAGGTTCTGTAACTTCCACTCCTAGCACTGCCATGGAGAAGTTGGATAGAATGCATATGCCACTTACTAACTGGAACTTCACAAGAAAAGCTGGTAAGGTCATAAAACAGGACTTCAAAAAGTTCATGAAAAATGGAATTAAAGAATAAGGTTACTGTGGTGCAAAAAAATTTTGCAATCATAGTTTTCCCATAATATGTATTTCCCATGAACTCTTACTCATGTAAGGATAACAGAGACAATCCTGCTGATTAAATGCTATTTAAAAATGCACCTGCACAAACCTCACTGACACTATGAACCACTCTCACACAAGCTATTCACTATTCTACTTTAGACTTTGTTTTAAATCTCCTATGTACATTGAAGAAATACATCATATCAATTTTATGCTTTGAATTCTCACTTATGTACTATAAAATATGAGGGGACTTCAAAAGGTTCACAGAAAACTGTATTATGTGAAAACTATGCATGGATTTCCAAATTTCTAATACACTTATCTTTCAATTGCACGTTTTGGAGTTTTTTGAGGTTTTTGGAGCTCCCCTTGTATTTCTAGCCTACAAATTTCCCAGCTCCTGACAAGTCACAAAATTCCTAAGTTTATTTAACAATTTTGTTTCACTAACCTTTCTTCAACTCCCAAAGCTTCCCGAAATCTAAAAGCATCATAGCATGTTTACAAAGCGCTAACTCTTTCAAGGTCCCCAGGAGTGGATACGATGCAGGAAACTTCCTGGAGCAAGAAAAATTAAGCTGAAATAACTAGCTAAAGCTTGCGCTACCTGAGGTGCAACTGAAACTCATGGAGGAGACCAAGCGACACTTCCCCTTCCTGGCATCCCCAGAAAGAGCGCACACCAAGATACACAGAGTCACGGCTCCCTGCCCAGGCACCAGGAGGCTGTCTCTGTGTGGAAGTCCTTGGCGCACAAGCCTATGTAATTTCTGTAATCGCTCCCTTTTACCAGTGACCAGGAGCGACCCAACTTTGACTTCTGTCTTCTTTTCTTTTCAGAAGTATTCTATCGGCATCATGTTTGGGGGCGGGGGGCAGGAATCTAGCCTAGCCATTGGAACACAGGTCGCCCCATCAGAATGCCCGAGTTCAACTCTGGCTCTGGCTCCAGCTTCCTGCCAATGCAGACACTGGAGGCAGCAGTGCTGCACTGATCTCTCAAGTTATTGGGTTCCTGCTACCCACATGGGAGACTGAACTTGCACACCTGGCTCCTGGCTCTGCCCCAGCCACTCACTCAGTCCCGCCTGTTGCAAGCATTTGGAACTGATCCAGTGAACAGGAAGGTTCTCTCTCACTCACTCTTCCCCTCCGCCACTTTGCCTCTCCTCTCCTTCTTCCTCTCCCTCTCAAGTTAAACAAATACACCTTTGAAAAAAATCCTGTTTCTATTCACCTAAGCTTTGAAAAAACATTACAGTCTTTTTCTGTCCAACAGATGTGCCACTGCTAAATGAAATTATTAGGGGATGTTCCTGTTAAACAATACGTATGTCTATCACTTAATGACTGGTTACCTAAAAGAGTATCACACAAGTCATCCTATATACCCTCACTGAGCATAGTCATTGCAAACCATGAACCAGTTGGACAGGCAAGAATACCTACCACTCCTGGTCTCATTGTAGGGATAATTAGTCACAAGGTCTCCTCCATGGAGATTGGCAGAGAGCACAAAAGGAATGTCCATAATCCAGTGAATGACAGCCTTGGTCTCAGGAGCAAGCTATATGAAAGATTGGAGAGGAAAAGGACTATGAATTGGAGTCATTGGTACGCTCTCATGACAGCAAAGACATAGGAAAGGTCAAGAAAAAAAACTGGAACCTGGTCCTATTTCAACCACTTTGCGGTTGTTTTCATTGGAAAAAAGTTTCCTGTAAGAGCAGCAGCCCCCATATCTATCTTTCTCAGATGTGTAATAAAAAATATTTCAATAGCACTTAAATTTCTTTACAAGTTCTGTCCGTTTTTGTCTCTTTGGTAAATTGAAAACAAACCTGCAAATCACTTACAAATGTCGGGACAGCTTTAGCTGATCTGTCATAGCTCATGCATCTCGGCTCGTAATAGTTAAGAATAAGATAAGGAGAGAAGAATAAGATAAGGAGAGAAGAAAAGAAATTATCAATTCCCAACTTGACTCTCACTGGGATTAAACATGACAATAGGTCTGCTCTGATTTCATCATCATTTAAAAAATCATCTATTATTTTTCACTTTATGTTTCTGTGTGGGAGCAAACTGTTGAAATCCATACTTAATGTATACTAAGCTGATCTTCTGTATAATAAGATAATCGAAAATGAATCTTGATGTGAATGGAAGGGGAGAGGGAGTGGGAAAGGGGAGGGTTGTGGGTGGGAGGGACGGTATGGGGGGGAAGCCATTGTAATCCATAAGTCGTACTTTGGAAAATTATATGCATTAAATAAAAGTTTAAAAAAAAAAAGGAGAGAAGATAACAGTTGGGCTGCAGAGCAGAGTTCCTCATCTAAGGTTCTTCAAACACGTGGTAGATTTTTATTTCCAACTTTAGTTACTATTTTTCCAGTTTTCTTCTACTACTTCAAACACTGTCCCTATAAAAGAATATTAGTCTGGGTCTATTTTAGAGGTAACTATAAAATCTCAGTTTACTTTGGAATGATCATCTTAAATTTACAAACAAAAGCACACATTTCAGGAATTCATGTTGAGTTTTTTGAATGATTAACATCCCCTCATATCTTGGAAGCAAAACAAAGGAGAAAAATTTATACCAAAAAATTAATCTGGAGCCAAAAGCTTGATACTTTTATATGATGAGCTTTTAATAGCAGTGGGGGAGATTCTAAAACTCCAAGTATTTCTGTGGTAAAAAGAAAAAAGCTGTCCCTGGAGATGTGATCTGTACTGTTCTTTGGGACAGCAATTCTAAAGGCATCCATATGGGTTGGTGGTCAGGGTGAGATCATGTATTTGTGTATCCCAGTTTGGCTTATGAACAGCTCTCATAAATGCTGTTTTATTGCACTTCATAACACCTCACTGGATATACAAAGACAGGGAGCTCCACTTCCCAGGGGGAAAATCTGATGCTGGAGGGTGTGAAATACCATGCACAAGTCCACACAGGTGAGGATTCCAATCCAAAGCAGGAGCCAGAAGACACACATTACTCTTAGTATGTCAGCTTCACTGCAGAAAACGCTCCTATTCTTCACATGTGCTACTCAGAACTGTGGAAAAGGGTGATTTAGAATATTGTTAAGGGGTAGCAAAACATGGCTAACTGGAAGAATAAGTTGTAATGTTCTACAACATGGCAGGGTGACTATAGCTTACAACAACTTATTGCATGTTGTATAAAGAACTAGAAAAAGGAGTCCAGAGGCTCTCAATGCAAAGAAATGGTAAATGTTTAAGGAAAGAGAAACAGTAGATACCCTGATTTGATCACCCCACAATGTGTTTGCTGTATTATCATACCATACTCCAAAAATTCGTGAACTTATTGTATGTTGGTTACAAAAAGATTAGGGTATTATTTTTGCTATTTGTCTGGTTGGTGGATTTTACCCTCACTATTAACAAATGCTCACTGCACAAACTGTAGAGGAGACAGATAGTCACAAACAAGAAAATTAAAATTACTCATAACTTTGCTACCTAAAGAACTTTTTGAGAACTCCTCACATTTAAGTGGCCCACCGAGAAGACACCAAGACACCCCTAAGATCAAGCCCCTTGTGTAACCTAAAACCAGCTGCGGCCTATCTTTACAGCCTGCACTTGGTGGCAGGCATTTGCTGCGGTGGCCAAGGTATCACTTGAGTGGCCCTCATCCCACGTCAGAGTGCCTGGCTTTAAGTCCTGACTCTGCTCTCATTTCTAGCTTCCTGCTAATGTGCACCCTGGGAGGCAGTAGGTGAGGGCTCAAGGACTTGGCTCCCTGCCAGCCATGTAGGAGACTAAGATTAAGTTGCCAGCCCGGCCCCAGCTACTGAGGGCGTTTGAAGAGGAATATCTATGTGCGCCTGTCTCTGTCTCTCAAATAAAAATAAATTCTTAATTAACTTTGAACTTCATTTAAAGACTGTAAATGCAGCTCAAATATTAGGCTGTATCATTAGATGACTTTGGCTCCCAAAATAAGTTGAAACTCTAGGAGTGGTATTAAAAATGTATAGAAAATACATACCATAAAAAGGTTATGCATGGATTTCAAAAGTTTTACACCAAATTAAACATATCTGTTAACTCTACTTTTCTATAAATGTCCCTCCCCCTCTTCGTGGAGGAACGACACTAAACCCTGCCTAGGCTTCATATCCGAGTCACGGCACCATTATGTCGCTCCCCCTCTTCGTGGAGGAACGACACAGGACCCTGCGCTGTTCTTTCGTCTGCTCGGCCCTCCCCGGGTTTGCTGCTGGTTCTTCCGGGCTTGGCTGCTGGTCCTTCCTGGGTTGGCTACCGACCCTTCCACCTCCGTGGAAGGGCGGTTCCCCCTGCCACATTCCCCACTTCCGTGGGGGAGCGGCACACCGCCGGCCGGCTCTCTCGGGGGCTGCACAGGTGTTCCCCTTAGATGTTCCTGGTGCATGCCGTCTCTCTCCTCCTTTATAGTCCTCTTCCACCAATCCCAACTCTGCTACCCACACGCCGAGTACGCTGCTCTCCTCCAATCAGGAGCAGGTCCCACAGTTTATTGGTTGAACTGGAGGCAGCTGTGTAGAAGCTGTTTCCCTTCTCAGCGCCATATTGTGGGAAAGCAGATGCATAGAATAAGTCTTAATTCCAGTAACTTAGTCTAGTCCGAGTTGCTCCCCACATATAACTTTAAAATTTTTTTGTTTCTTTATTTCAGAGACAGAGAGTGAGAAACCTCCTATCCTCCAGTTCACTCCCCAAATGCCTACAACAACTGAGGCCGGGCTGGGTCAGAGCTGGAGCCTGGAGCTGGGAATATAGTCTGAGTCTCTCACATGGGTGGCAAGGACCCAATCGCCTGGGCCATCACTGCCACCTTCCAGCATGCTAGCAGGAAGCTGGAGCCAGCAGCAGGAGCCAGAACTCAAACTTGGGCACTTCAACGTGGGACCCAGGCATGGTGCTAGGCCAAATAGCTGCTCCCCGATTTTTCCATGGACTGTTTGAAGTTCCTCATTTGATTTAGGTTTCTTCACAACGGTAACCATTAAAGGTAAGTATAAACTCAACAAATTATGGGATGCATTTTCATCCACTGAGCCTGGATGACAGGGGAGGCAGCTGGACCGACAGTTCAAGAGCAGGTGAGAAACGACCCAGCAGGAAGAAGAGCAAGAGGAAGCTCTATGCAGAGAGGCTCAGAGGGGCCAGGAGAGTGTCGGCCTCGCGGCCCGTCTCAGGGGGACCCCTGGAGCACCAGGGGCTCGCGGAGAATGTCAACTCCTTCCACCACCAAGGCCACAGCACACACCCCAGACTCCATGCTCCATGGAGCCATATCAGCTGGAATCTGCATCTCTAACAGGGGAAGGCTGGCCCAGCAAACAGCAGAGCTAACCTTGCGATTCCAAAGCATTCTAGGTGATATGCACAGACAGAGGTATCAGGGGCGAAGGGAAGGGAGTGGGAGAGGATATATAGTGACGCTTATGAAATCCCTGCCAACTGTCTCTTCCCTGCTGGGTCTTAACACTCCCTCATTCTTACTGACAAACTGGGGAAACGGAGACAAGGCACAAGACATGCACAATACCATCCCCCAATTATAAACAGCTTTACTGAAGAATCAGTATACAGTAAACACATCTTGCTTTATGTTTCAGGAAGGGGATTAAACTTTGATTTCCATGTATTTTTGTTTAATTTGCATTTATCTAGAAAAAGTAGCGGCATTGATTTTTTGTTTTTTTTTTTTTTTCAATAAATTTTTTTTTAATCTGACAGGTAGAGTTATAGACAGTGAGGGAGAGAGACAGAGAGAAAGGTTTTCCCTCCGTTGGTTCACCCCCCAAATAGCAGCCATGGCCGGCACTGTGCTGATCTGAAGCCATGAGCCAGGTGCTTCCTCCTGGTCTCCCATGCGGGTGCAGGGCCCAAGCACTTGGGCCATCCTCCACTGCTTTCCCAGGCCATAGCAGAGAGCCAGACTGGAAGAGGAGCAACCAAGACTAGAACCGGCACCCATATAGGATGCCGGCGCTGCAGGTGGAGGATTAACCAAGTGAGCCACGGCACCGGCCCCTCAATAAAAGTTCTTATTTAAAAGAATACCATCGACATAGGCATTGTGGTACAATCGTGTTAAGCCACCACTTAGGAAGCCGGCATCCCATTTTGGAAGGTCTGGGATTGAGTTCTACCCTCAACTCCCCGCCCTGTTGCCAATCCAGTTTCCTGCTAACATGTTTGTGAGGCAGCAGGTGATAAGCCAAGTACTTGGGTCCCTGCCACACATAGGGGGAACCTGGATAGAGTTCTAGGCTCTTGGCTTCAACTTGGCTCAGCTCTGGCTATTGCAGGCATTTGGGGAGTAAACCAGCAAATGGAAAACCTGTCTCTCTCTTTTTCTTTCTCTCTCTCTTTCTTCGTCTGTCATTCTGCCTTTCAAATAAATATTTTTTAAAAAATAATAATACCAATGAGCATGCATCATTTAAGCAAATATTGCCTAAGCTGGAAATACAAAATTATCTAGAGACTACACAAATATTATCCCGGTTAAAGCTGGGATGGAGAAGGTGGTGCAGGCTGGAAATAATGTCACTTGCACAAAGTTGCCAAACATCTGGTCAACACGAGTTTAGTTCACAATTCTTCCATGACAGGTGCCAGAAATTATTTTCCTTGCTTCTCAGATGTAACAAAGGCAGGTTCAACAAAGACAAAGATGGGAAAGTCTGAGGCCAGCGTTTTGTTTCTGCTGAAGTCATATTAACAGGACTGTACCCTCTTTGCTGGCCCTCCGCCTGTCCAGCTCTCCCTCTCCCTGGAAAAGGTACTTTTGGGGGGAGAGCGGGCTGAGAAGCAGCGAGTGTGTCTGTGACTCCCAGGCAGGGAAGCTCTGGTCACTCACTTAGAAGGTCCTGCCAGAGCCTAGCCCTTGGCAGCCCAGAGGCAGACCAGCCTGCGCCTGTAGGCTGAGCCCAGGTTTCTGGGAGGAATCCTAAATACAGGCAGCAGAATGTCGAGAATTTAGGTCAACAATCTGGGACCCTCTGCCTGAGGACCCTCTCCCCAGTGTCCCAGCCTGGATTATTCGTGACTGCACTTTCACATCCTACATTTTTTAGCTTTGCTTTGTGGGACTGGATTGCACCTGCACTCATAGCAGGCCCTGGGAACAAGGGGGTGAGTTACAGACTCATGGAGAAACGCAGCCACATAAACAAATCCCGGTGAGAGGAGGAATGCTCCCAGGACAGTGAGCACTGCCCTGGAGAACACAGAGCAAGGCTTCTCAGGACACATCCTCGAGAGCAGAGGGACATTGCCCGAGGGGGACCTGGGAGCAAAGGCAAGGGATCCCAGGCCTGGGGACAATTCAGAGCCAGGCACTGAACTGTCAGAAAACAAAATCCTGGGAACAAGGAGAGGGTGTGGTTGTACCAAGCATCCAAGCCAGATTACGGGGTGAGCCAGCTGGCAGCTTCCAGGGGCCAAGGGACTTGTGAATGACCCTGAAGCTATAACGGGTGGGGAAATGGCTCTTTCCCCCTCCCACTTAGAGCAAGAATTGCCTGCGGCAACCAAGCAGGAACTGAGAGCTGCCTCCTGCGCTTCTTCCTTGTAGGCTCAGCTTCTCTGCAGCACTGAAAACAATGTTGGTTTGAAGACACCCAGTGCTGAGTGAGTATGTGTCCATCTAGTCCTGAGTACCTCCCTAACAGGAAGCGCTGAGAAATTACACGGAGATGATAAGAGTTCTGGCTCCCGACCTCACGCCCTACACGTGTTAACTCTTTCAGTCTCTATGAGCATCTGATGAGATGGACACTGCTACCGTCTCCACATCCCTGATGAAGACACTGAAGCACAGAGATGTCAAGTAACCTTTCAAAGTTCACACAGCAAATCTCAGAGCCAGAACTTGAGTCAGGGTCTCCGAGTTTCACCATCACACTGTTCTCCCATACTGGCTTTTCACTCTGTCAGCATTCTTCACTTTATGGACCACTGGCAAGGTCTGAAGCAAAAGAGTGACTGGGGCGGGGTGGGGTGGAGAGGTTCACTATGGAGCAATCTGAGAAAACTCAATAGAATGGAAAGAGGCTAGACACAAGGAGTGGGAGTCTCACCCAGCAGAGCAGACCGTGGGGACCTGAATTAAAGCTGTGGGGTGTCTTTGCAAAGGAAAGGAGACTGCAGAGGTGGGAGCTGTGGGAACTCACTGCTGGTGAGGGCAGGGAGCAGAAAAATCAAAGGTTTTCATGATCAGGATAATGGAAGAATAGTGACTCTAAGAGAAAATAGTTGTTTCCAGAGAAGCTAAGCTTGCGGCCCTGGGTTCCACTGGGCAAAGGGACCCAGCGAGCAGGTGAAACTGAGAATGGAGTGCCACCAAAGGTCTGGAGCTAGAGCAATGGAGCCGGGAGACCTTGAAGAGAACTCACAGGGACACAGATCCAGGGCCGTGGTGACTGAGATGCCCATTCTGGGTTCCTCCCTTCTGTCCCCACCCCTGAACCCAATTCCAGAGAGCAGGACTCACGTCCAGCACCAGCCCACTGGCCATGACTTTCATGTCAGGGTTACCTACTCCACACGTGACAGTCTTCGCCCCTTTTCTGAGACCTGCAGTGAATGCCTGCAGGTACTCCCAAGCCCTTTCTATAAGATGCTTTTGGCTAGACATCCATCCCTCTGATAAAGTTTAATTTGTAAGTCAGGCACAGTCACAGATTAACAATAACTCACAAGAAAATAGAGCTATAATGATATACTGTAATAAAATAGCCAACGTCGCTATTCTCACACATCGGGGTCCCAATCCCGGAAACTGTTCAAGAATGACTTGAACAAAACCCTGTGACAATATGACAGCTGATCTCTTTAACAGAGACACCACTGAATGGTGGGGTGGCAGATACAGTGTGGATGCTCTAGGGACGACTCACAGCCAGGGAGGATGGAGTGGGACAGCCCGAGGTTCCATCGCGCTACTCTGAACAGCTCGCAATGTAAAGCTTAGTGAACTGTTTATTTCTGGAATTGCCCATTTAATCGTTTTGGACTGAGATGGTGGTGGGTAACTGAAACCACGGCAGGTGACAGGACAGACACCCGCTGCATGCCTGCATCCTTCAGGAAGAACAAACACGTGAGGGCCCATCGCCTTAGCTTAGAGGACACAGCCCGGAAAACAACGACGACACGTATGGTTGACCTTTGTGTTCTGATCCACAATCTTCTTCAGGTTTTTCAGCAGATGGTTATTGGGGCCACCTTCTTTCTCATTGACGTACACGATCCTATCCAAGTCTGGGAAGTTCCAGTTCAAATCTATTCCCTGGGCGTTGCTTCGACCCACAAACCAATCCTTGAGCTCACCAGGCTAAAAAAAAAAAAAAATTCACAAAGATGCTCAGTTATTCGGCATTGTGTAACTATAAGGTCTCTATTCATGGTTTTTAAAATAAGTTTAAAATAAGGATTAAGTATTCATTTCAATGATATCCTCCCATAATGCAATTTTCACTATTTTACTTACAAAAGAATGAAGGTATCGATTTAAGGTACTTGTTTGGATATTTTGGAAATATTTTCGATGAATCATATTTTAAGTGTTAATAAGTATTTAAGAGGTATGTGTCATTCAATTTCAAAAATTCAGTATATATTAATTAATAATAGCATACATTCTGTATTTAGATTTAACTAAAATATTCATTGCCTCTAAATCACAGCAAACTATTTTTAAATATTTAAAAGAATCATTAAATAAGATTAGAAGCTTAAAATAAGTCCAACATGGATAATTCATATTTTAATAACACATCTCCTTCCAGTAGCCCTCAAGAAGAAAAACAAGCTCTAGAACAAAAGTTCTAGAGTCTTGCAATTTGAGGAATTTCTGTCCAATTTAAATGCTTCCTTTCACTGTGCTACAACCTAGAAACTTAATGAATTTCCAAGATACTCGGTTTAATGTTATAATGTGAATTTTGTTTTATGATTAAATTACTTCAAGTCTATGATGAAATTTTAAGTCATGTACTCCTATATACCTTAGACTGCGAGAAATAAAAATCTGTAAGACACCAAACAACAATGATAATCTTTTACTCATCTGTCTTATAAGATCAAGATCATATTAAGGCATCAAATAACTTAATTTTGCTACTAGAATTTTTCTCCTATAACTTTGGAAAGCATATCAACATTATTCTTATTTACAGAAATTCACTCTGTGAGTAGATGTCAAACTACTGGGTCCCTGGATTTTCTTAATTGCAGCTACACACAAAAAATATTTACTTTAAAAAATAAAAATTAAAAGTTTTACTTGTGTTCCCATACAATAGGAAAATTATTTCAAACTGAAGAAAACCGCAAATATTATATCCCCAATCCTGTCCAATCAAAATGAGAATACACTCTATAGCTTCTCTTAAATACCATTCATTTCTAGCTCTCTAACAGCCAAAGTATATCACATTTTTTTTAGTTTATTGGCAAGTAATTTTTTGTTTTATTTGTGTTTTTTTTAAGATTTTTATTTATTTATTTGACAGGTAGAATTACAGACGGTGAGAGAGAGAGAGAAAGGTCTTCCCTCCATTGGTTCACCCCCCAAATGGCCGCAACAGACGGAGCTGCGCCGATCTGAAGCCGAGACTGCATGAGAAGTTTTGTTAATCAGTTAATTTTTTGATAATGTTTTTCTTGTGTTGTTAAATAATTCCGATTAATTCATCCTCGTTTGTGACTAGATAAATTTCCTTCTAAAAATTTGCCAGTATGAAAAATACTGCTCTGTATTGAAGGGGAATCCCTCGGCTCGGTCTGGATGAGTCAGGGACACAGCGCCCTCTACCGAAACCAAAGAGGAAGAGCTTCTGGCCAGACCAATGTTTTATTTTTTTTTTATTATTATTATTATTTTTTTTTTTTGACAGGCAGAGTGGACAGTGAGAGAGAGAGACAGAGAGAAAGGTCTTCCTTTTGCCGTTGGTTCACCCTCCAATGGCCGCCGCGGCCGGCGCGCTGCGGCCGGCGCACCGCGCTGATCCGAAGGCAGGAGCCAGGAGCCAGGTGCTTTTCCTGGTCTCCCATGGGGTGCAGGGCCCAAGCACCTGGGCCATCCTCCACTGCACTCCCTGGCCACAGCAGAGGGCTGGCCTGGAAGAGGGGCAACTTGGACAGAATCCGGCGCCCCGACCGGGACTAGAACCCGGTGTGCCGGCGCCGCTAGGCGGAGGATTAGCCTAGTGAGCCGCGGCGCCGGCCGCAGACCAATGTTTTAATAGCTGTCTAATCTTTGGTTAACCATGAGAAAATTTAAAAAAAATAAAAAATAAAATAAAAAATAAAACAAGAGGCCAGCCCCGTCGCACACTATGTTAATCCTTTGCCTGCAGTGCTGGCATCCCGTTTGGACACCGGTTCTAGTCTCGGTTGCTCCTCTTCCAGTCCAGCTCTCTGCTGTGGCCTGGGAAGGCAGTGGAGGATGGCCCAAGTGCTTGGGCCCCTGTACCCACGTAGGAGACTGGGAAGAAGCTCCAGGCTCCTGGCTGAAGAAGAAATTCTGTAACCCCTCACATTCTGGCTTATTTTCTTACCAGCCAGCTGAATTCTGTACCACTTTTACTCTCCAGTGAGCCTTGTGGAAACTCCAGATGACAGCATTACTTAGAGATGTGTACATACGTACAAGCACATGGACCATGAGGAAGGCCAGCCCCACCTGACCAGCCGGGCACCCACCTGGGATGCTGCCTTCTCAAAGCCGTCGGGGTTCAGCGAAGGCATGATGTGGATTCGGGTGTTGTGGATCAGGTTGACGACTGTCTCATTCCCCTTCTGATATTCATTGCATAAGTACTGGGCCAGGAAAATGAGCAGTTCCCTTCCAACAGCCTCATTACCGTGCATATTCCCAATGTACTTAAATTCAGGCTCACCTGGCAAGATCAAAAATAGAAAATAGAAAGACGTTTTCCATAATACCAAAGAGAAAGCAAATAGCACACACTGGTGACGATCTCTTCTCCCTACTGCCGGACGACACATAGCCACAGCTTCCTTTCCTCCCTGAGGCGATGCCTGAGACATCTACCTTACACATTAAAACTCTAGAACATCCTTTCTCTCCTAGCCCTCTCTCCTCAGCTTCCCACCTGCTAGGGACTGAACTGTGTCCACTGACATTCATAGGTTGAAGGCCTAGTGCCCAGTGTGACTGTAATTTGGAGATAAGGCATTTACAGAGGTAATTTAGGTTAAATGAGGTTATAAAGGTGAGGTCATAATCCAACATGACTGATGTCTTTAGAAGAAGAGACAAAGATAACTCTATTCTCTATTTCTATCTCCCTCCTTCCTTCCCTCCCTCTCTCTCCTCCCTCCACTCAACACAGGAAAGGCCATGTGAGGACATGGCAGGAAGGTGATGGCAAGCCAGGACAAGAGCCCTCAGCACTCAGTGGAAACCCACTCAGCGGCACCTTGATCTTGGACTTGTAGCCTCCAAAACCATGAGAAAATAAACCTGTTGTTCAGTCCACCTGGGCTGTGGTATTTCTTTTTTAATGACAGTCTGACCAGGCTACCCCACCACCAAAATCTATTAATAAGCTGCTAACATGACTCCTGTTGGCTAAACACTATATTTGGCATGTTTTCTTATTTGATCCCCACCAAACATCTACAAGTGTTTTCACTGATGAGCATGTTGAGAGCCAGGCTGCCTAAAAATCTGACCACACAACACAGCCCATGAAGCCAGGATTCAAATGCTGGTCTTCTAGTGTGGGCAAAAGTTTATGCTTTTGTGGCTTTTTTTCCCTCTAAACCATAGTGGTTAAAAGGAATCAGCCTGGGTTCAAATCCTAGCACCAGTCCTTCCTGGATGGCTTACTTAGAGTTCCTCCAGGTCTCCGTGGTTCTCATAACCTATCTGAAATATAAACAGACTTTTCCCTCAAAAGGTTACAGTGAGAACTAAGTGAAATCGTGAATGTAAACTCAGAACAGTGCCTGGCAATAAGCAAGAGCTACGTGTTTGCTGCGCTTGTTTTCCATGGTATCATGGTATTATTACTCCCCCATTTTATCTTGTCGTTGCATGGTGCTTTAGCACACATAATCTAGTTTTTCTTTACAACAGCTCACTGAACTATGGAAGGCAGGGACTGTGTTTTCATTATGGCTCCAAGGCTGCCTGAAGAGCACAGGTTGTGTTGAAGGGCTCGGCACCCAAACACAAATCGCAGTCGCCTGTCTCTGCTGCTTTCCGATGCGGTTTTGCAGGAGCAAGGAGAAGGCAGAGCGAAGTGGCCCAAGGTAACCCTGGCGCTCTGCTCCTTTCATGCTCATCCATCCCACAGGCCCAGCCTCTGGAGTCCAAGGATTCTCCCATCTGGGACCGCCTGCTCCTGGCACGAGAAAAGAAGCCGGAATTCCTTTTCTCCTGCGAATGCCCCGGTATCTAAAGATTCTTCGCCTGAGATTCTGAGTGTCTGATTTCAGTGGCTACTAACCCAGAACCCAGGTCCTCGTCCTCCTGTTGACCTCTCCAGCTGAGTTTATGCTAATCTTCATCTGCGGGTCAGATGGGGGTAGGAGCAGTGCTATTTATACCCCCTCGGATTTGACTTGGACAGAGAGATTCTTAATAAAACCAGACTCGCCTAGAAGGTGCGAGAACAAACGAGAAGGCGTGACAGGAAGCAGTTCCTTGGCTTCTGAGTTCAGAAGTGACAGTAACTCTCTCCTTCCTGTGACTCTCACGCACTTTATACCACCCCCCCCCAATGTATTAATTTCATTGAGGCACAGGAGGAGTTGCAGTAGCCCTTTATGTAAAGGAAAGGAGAGCAAGCAGCCAGGGAGGCGGGAGAGGCTGGTGCAGCTCTGAGCTTGGCCCACAACCCAGGAGCCGAGAGGAGCACACTGAACATTGCCTATTACTTCTCTGGGAGCAAGTGTTTGAAAATCATTTCAAGAAGAAATACCAAACTCATAGTCACTTAGCCACGTTGTTTAAAGACAGCATTTTGTAAGACACACAGAGTAGACGCAAATCTTGGTGTCTAGGACGCTACAGAAGCCCCAAGAGCAAATAAGGTTTCCAAACGCAAGGAATACAGGGTCTGGGGGAGCACCCATAGCACCTGAGCACTGCTCAGAGGGGAGGGAACACCGAGGAATGTCGGATCTGAAACTAGCCAGTCCCACGGTGTTAAGCTGCAGTGTTCCACCTGCGTCTCAGGACTGTCTCCAGGCCCCTTTTCCCTCAAAGCCAGAGTTATCTTTTTTTTTTTTTAAGATTTATTTATTTATTTGAAAGTCAGTTACACACAGAGAGAAAGAAAGGCAGAGAGAGAAAATTCTTCCATCTGATGGTTCACTCTCCAATTGGCCACATCAGCCGAAGCTGCGCCGATCCAAAGCCAGGAGCCAGGAGCTTCTTCCAGGCCTCCCACGTGCGTGCAGGAGCCCAAGCACTGGGGCCATCTTCTATTGCTCTCCCAGGCCATAGCAGAGAGCTGGATGGGAAGTGGAGCAGCCGGGTCTTGAACCGGTGCCCATATGGGATGCTAGCGCTTCAGGCCAGGGCGTTAACCCACTGCGTCACTGTGCCACAGCGCCGGCCCCACAAGAGTTATCTTTACAAAACACAGCACTCATCAGGTCACTGGTACATGAAAACCCATCACTAACCTCCCACTTGGCTTCACAATTGACACAAAATTCTCTACAAGATCTCTAACTGCTACATGGTCTTGATATCGGAATTTGGCCCCCTAAAATATGTATCAAAATGTAGTCCCTTAAAGTTCCCTGAAAGTCCCATCTGGGGTGCCACATGTTATTGGAATTTGGGGTGTCATACAATATCACCATATGCTTATTAATAAGTTCCCAATATTAATAAGCCTGTGTGGGTTTCTTGCCTAATATTCAGAGAATTCTGAATACTGGCATAAATGAACGAGGCAGCATGGTACATTTTAAGCTTTTATTCAGTGCAAAAGATGCATAGGTTAGGGGCTAGCACTGTGGCACAGTGGGTTAAAGCCTTGGCCTACAGTGCCGGCATCCCATATGCACACCGGTTCGAGTCCCAGCTGCTCCTCTTCCAGTCCAGTGCTCTGCTGTGGCCTGGGATAGCAGTAGAAGATGGCCCAAGTCCTTGGGCCCCTGCTCCTGGCTCCGGATCAGCTCAGCTCCAGCTGTTGCGGCCATCTGGGGAGTGAACCAGCGGATGGAAGATCTTTCTGTGTCTCTGTCTCTACTTCTCTCTGTAACTCTTTCAAATAAATAAAATAAATCTTAAAAAAAAAAAAGATGCATAGGAGAGTGAGGGCTTTATCTATTAGAGAGAGGTAGATCTGGGTTCATACCGAGTACCAGGAATCAGCCACGTGGAAAAGGATCTAGGCCAGGAAGCATGGGGCGGGTGGGGCCTTGCACCCTGGAGGCCCAGGGCTGCAGCCAGCCCCCTACTGGCTAGAGGCCAGTAGGTAAATGGTTGGACCACACCCTGTCCCAGCCTTTAACCACTTCCAAAGGGGAGTGGCTAATTCATCTGATTGGCCGGTGGGCGCTCAGGTGTGGCCAGTTATGGGCATGCGGTCACACAGGGGCATGCCGAAGGTGTGGTCTAACAGCTCACAAACCTAATCAATTTTAACCTCTATGCCTGTCTTCTTCAGTCTGGCCTGGGGATTCCTGTCGCCCCTGAGGTCCCATGCCTTCCCTCCTCTCTTGCCTGGAATGTTCTCTGCTCAGACACACACCCTGCCCTCAGATCCTTCTAATACCACACACATACAGCTTCCTCAGAGTAACTGTCGCCTAGTTCCAGCCCCTTTGCCAATTCTCATGCCTCAATCTGTAAACATACATTTAATGATGGGGCCATCTGGCTCCCCTACTGACCCCCCCAGAACTGCAAGGACCCTAAGCACTGGGATGGTGTCAGCTTTAGCTCACTCATGTGTCACCTGTACCCAGCGTAGTCTGGAACATAGTGAGAGCGCCACAGACAATGATTCAGTAAATTCACGAGTAAATGAATAAATGAAGAAGTCTGGCTTCCCCCACCCCAACCAGCCACGGCCACAGCCATGGACAACCTTCCTGGAACAGTGCAAGGGACTTGGGCATCAGGGGGCAACAGCCCAGGACTGGCCACTCCACGGAACACCCAGGCAGGAAGAGCCATTCTGTGGCGGTGCTGTGAACAGCTGATTTCCCACGAAGAAGATTAATCTCCATGGTCACGGCAAAGCCTTTCTCCTGGCAAGCAGCTCTCGGAGGCTATTTTTGTTGTACATTCTAAACAATGAGCTCCAAAGAGACTTTGCCTGCAGCATCCTTAATCCACAAATAGGAATCGAATGGAAGACACTGGGTTTTGAGGGAACCCCTTCTCTGTCCATGCCCCTTCCGTTTATTTTGAAATATTTTTTTTTAAAAAGGGAGAGCTCTTCATCACCACCTAATGTTCTTTTCTGCAGCTACAAAGGCGGGTTTACAGCAGGCTGAGAGATGGCTGACGTATGCCTTCCTGTTTACGGTGTTTACAGAAGGACAAACCCCAGGTTTCACAGGGCTGCAGCTGCCAGGTGCGTCACTGCTGGTGGAGGCGCTGGGCAATGCATGCAGTCCAGAGCTAGCGCATCTCTCTCCTGGCAATGGGAGCAAAAGGCAACAAGAAGCCGGGCTCCTGGGACACTTGGGGACGGCTGTCTGTGCATTCATATGTGGTCTCGCTCACTCTTGACCTCACCTCTGCTTCTTGCACAGTAATCCTGAGGTGCTGATCTGGCAATGGAGGAGGAGTCCTATTTGCACAGGGTGCGTGGCTAGGCAGGAAGAGTATTTCCCTGCATCCATCTTCCCACAATGTCATGTCGTGATCTTCCAGCGACTTCCCGTGACACAGAGCAATCATCTGACAAACGCAGCCCAGCCTGGCGGGCCGGATATTATAGTTTTATATGCTGTTCAGAACAGGTAATGGACCTGGTTGGATCTGCCTTCCCATCAGAACAAATAAGAATAATTTCTAAGTTTTTAAAATTAGCTCCACACTTTTCATGAAG